CTCTCCAAACTTCTATTATAATAGTACTTTAGCCCTTTGCTGTACTTACTTACCTCTCTCATCTCAACTCTAAACTTCACAAGAGCAGTAATCAAGGATCAAGTATCTTCAAGTGCCTCTGGGCTCATAAAAATTGAAATTGAGGCTGGGAAGGTGGCTCAGTGGTAGAGTGCTTGCCTTGCATGCATGAGGCCCTGGGTTCAATTCCCCAACACCACATAAACAGAAAAAGCTGAAAGTGGCACTGAGGCTCAAGTGGTAGAGCGCTAGCCTTGAGATGAAGAGCTGAGGGACAGTGTCCAGGCCCACAGTTCAAGTCCTACGACTGACCAAAAAAAAAAGAATTGAAATTGGTGCTAAACATTCTATAGGGCACCAGACAGGTCCCTATGTAAGAATGACCTGATTCCAAATATGAATACTGCCAAGTATGGGAAACCCTGGGTTAGACAGAAGCAAATGAATTGCCTTCTTAAATTCAGGCTGCAGCTCTTCTTACCTCATGGAAGAGCTATTAATTTCTCTGGAACCAAAGAATAATAGGGGTACAAGATGAAAGGAACCAAGGAAAATAGCAAAAATGAAATCATGGTTAAAGGGATTATTTTTCCCCATTCTCATTCTGCATTCTTCAACTCTGCCACAGTCACACTGTATGTGTGTGTGCGTGCGTGCGTGTGTGCACATGTGTGTGTGTGTGTGTGTGTGTGTGTGTGTGTGTGTACCAGGCTTGAACTGTTGCTTGGCTTTCATTGGCTCACATCTGGCACTCTCCCACTTGAGCCACATCTTCACTTTCAGTTTTACTGGTTATCTGTAAGTAAGTCTCAAGATTTGTCTGACATGGTTGGCTTTTAACTTTGATTCTCAAATCTCAGCTTCCTAAGAGGCTAATATAAGCATGAGCCAGTGATACCTAACAATATTCTACTTGCACTCTACCATTAAACCACATTCTCAGCCCCAGTATTCTACTTTTTTAAAAAAATATAACAGGGTGCTGTATAGAGGAGTTACCATTCATAAGTCAGATAATTACATTTCTTTTCTTTTCTTTTTTGTGGAGCTTGAACAGGGCCTAGGTGCTGTCCCTGAGCTTTGTTCAAGACTAGCGCTCTACCACTTTGAACTACAGTGCTACTTCTGGTTTTTGAGTAGTTATTTGGAGATAAGAGTCTCACAGGGACTTTTCTGCCGGGTTGGCTTCGAACTGCAATGGTCAGATCTCAGCCTTCTGAGTAGCTAGGATTACAGGCTTCAGTCACCTGCGCCCTGATGAGGACATTTCTCTTTGGATAATGTCATCCTTTCACTTTCCCAAAATTTCCCCCTCCTATCCCTGCCCACAAGTTATATACTATAGTTTCTTTTCTGCAGAATGTATAGTGATAGCCCACTTGCATTTGTTCACCCTTCCTCCTTTCCTTTCTGCATCTCCGGGTTGCCCCCTCTAAAAAGAAAAACAAAACAAAACAAAAAATCCCAAAACAAAAACTAATACTACTACCACCACCACCAAGAAGTATTCTATTTTTTTTTTAAATCAGAATTTGTATGTAGATAAGTGCTCTGTACCCAGCTGATTATACCATTCTTTGGATAGGATGCTTTCCTTGGACAAAGGAAAATCACTAACAGGATAAGGTAAAAAGAGAGGGGGGAGGGGAAAGAACCGAATAACTGTTTGATGAGTGAATGAATGGGCATTTTCTACAAATCCCTGAAATTTAAAAAAACACACACGTAGCTCAGTTCCTTAACCTCAGGCAAACAGAGACTACAGCTTTCCTTGGCATGTGGGTAGCAAGAACATGCCTGAAATTCCCTGCCCACACCACAAAAAGAGCATCACTATGCTATGTTAAGGCAAGTTTTTCAAGTTTTCAAACATCTGATGGATGAACAATATAGCCTGCCAATTTCAAGGAATAAGAAAAAGGTTGGGGTTTTTTGTTTGTTCTTTTGGAGACAGAGTCTATATTGGCCTTGAACTTGAAGTGATCTTCCTGCTTTAGTCTTCTGAATGAATAGATGGGATGATGGGGACACAGATAAACCCTTTAAAAGTGGCCTTCCTAGATGAGAAAACCAGCTTGCAATTATGAATGTTTCACTGGTTACTGTTTTCAGTGATTTTGTTATTGAGCAATTTTATTTGTGTGTGTTTGGCTTAAAAATGCAACATCAAGCTGGGTGCCAGTGGCTCAAGATTACAGCTACTCAGGAGGCTGAGATCTGGACAGGAAAGTCTGTGAGACTTATCACCAATAAACTACCAAAAACAGCTAGAAGTAGAGCTGTGGTTCAAATGATAGAGCACTAGTCCAAGCAAAAGGAACTGGGGATCAGCATCCAGGCCCTGGGTTCAAACCTCAGGACTAGGGCAAAAAAAAAAAAAAACAAACACAACATAAATCTACAATACTGTCTTCCCCACACCTTTAAGTTCAAAAACTGTTTAACTTATACAAAGTGGAAAAATAAAATAGAACCTATGTGTTAGGTAAAAAGGCATTTAATAAATATGTTATTATGCTGCTGCCACCCGTAAGCCTTTCTAAAAACACATGTGGTCTATTACAGACTAATGAATACTAAGAAGCATTTACTAGGTGATTTTCATTTTACTGCTATAAATACCAGGTTCTGTATCTAAACAGAAGCTATTTTTCATTTTGTATTTTTAATAGCGTATAAAGGCTTGGATTGTCTAACCATCACTGCTGTATACTATGTAAGTTATACCAAATTCAGTATTCCTGCTCTAAGAATTTATAAGCAAATGCTTACCTAGATCAATTTCAAGGTACATATTCAAAGTAACATTTTTTACATACATCTAAGCCACAATGTATATTTACTCTCCTTTTTTTTTTTTTTTGCCAGTCCTGGGGTTTGAACTCAGGCACTGACCCTGAGATTCTTTTGCTCCAGGCTAGTGCTCTACCACTTGAGCCACAGCACCATTTCTGGCTTTTTCTGCTTATGTGGTATTGAGGAATTAAAGCCAGGGCTTCATGCATGCTAGACAAGCACTCTTACCACTAAGCCATATTCCTAGCCCCTACCCTCCTCTTATTATTACTAATTCCTTAAATCCCACCTAGAAGTAGGATTTAAGATCAATAAGTAAAATACTGCAAAGGTGGGACACTGGAGTTTTATCATTAGAACACATTAAATCATTGCCTTACTAATACTTCCCTAAAGATTCAAAGGAAGATTTATAAGAAGGTGAAAACTGGGTGGGGTGTGGAGGCTAAGGTAGAAAGATCAAGAGTTTAAGACTGGTCACACATAGGGGTAAGTTCATATGTGCAGCAAGTACACACGTTCACACATACACATACATACACACACACACACAGAGTTAGACTTCTGGTCCCCTACCCTCATCCTCAGTCCTACTCTCTTCTGCCAGGAATCCTTCCTGACTCATCTCTGCCAATCTATATCCATCACTTCCCCCAGAGACCTAGCTTAAGATTCAGTTTCTTGAAAAAGCTCTCCCTGACTAATCCCATCTCCATTAAATACTTCCTAAGTTTGCATCCTCCTAACATTTATATATAATTGGCTCTACACAAGCAAGTACTTGATGTTTTTCCTCCCTATAAACTGTTCTGCATTTCTAGCTTTTCTTTAATTAGAGACCAAGTAGAGAGAGCATCTTTTATATTCATTAATTCAGAACCAGCAATAAATAAATGCTCCTGGAGTGACTGAATCACCAGTGAAAGGAAACTGATCACTCAAAAATATATCAAGTAAGCAAATGACTTTTTCATTTACAATACTCTACACTTCCAACCCATATGAGTCCTTGGAGATAAGATTTCATTTCGTCTTAGCTCCATAAATTCATCAGAAGAGATCTAGGACACAGATCACATATAAACTTCAGGTAAAGAAAAATTCTGGCTATTCAAACTTATCTTGTTAATGCATATCATTTCAAGTTTCTGACAAAAGTCTACTAGCCTTGAAGCAGTGCGCCTGTGAATGGTAAGAAGCTGGCACCAGTCTCTTGCAAAAGGGGCAAAACTCTAGTTGGCAGTAAGTGTTCAAACACGTGAACCTCCACTGTTAAACAAGGCTCATTAGGCACACAAACTTGCTGTTTCAGCTCTCTGCCTTCAATGAAGTGCTATGATCTCCTTTGGTTATTGTTGAGAGCCAATGATGGGTTAAATTCCCATAAATTACCTAGCGCTTTGGTGGTTTGCCCAAGCATATTGCTGGCAACGTGTAGATGATTTTTTTTTTAAACAGACCCACTCGCCAAGAGAGCCAGAGGGGAGTGAAGGGCCAAATCGGCACTTCTGAGAAAGAAAGAAAGAAAGAAAGAAAGAAAGAAAGAAAGAAAGAAAGAAAGAAAGAAAGAAAGAAAGAAAGAAAGAAAGGAAGGAAGAAAGAAAGGAATAAAGAAAGAAAGAAAGAAAGAAAGAAAGGAAGGAAGGAAGGAAGGAAGGAAGGAAGGAAGAGGAAGGAAGGAAGGAAGGAAGGAAGGAAGGAAGGAAGGAAGGACAGGGAGAGAGGGAGAGAGGGAAGGAAGGAGAGAGGGAGGGAGGGAGGGAGAGAGGGAGGGAAGGAAGGAAAAATGAGAGATCTAGAGAAGCAGAGCCGATCGGCGTCCTGTAGTTCTGGATGTCAGCTTGTCCCTGCAAGAAGGGGTGAGCTCCAGGTCCGGCAGTGTTGTTTTGTTTTTTCTTGGCCCTCTTTAACTCTCAGCGGAGTTTCTCTTAGGGGCTGCAAGCCACACTTCGGCGGCTGCCCAACTTTTCTTGCAAAGGAGCATCAGTGTTTCCACACTCAGAGCCCCAGGAAAAAAAGAGAGGAGGAAAGAAGAAGAAGAAGAAAGAAAGAAAAGGAATTTGTGGGAGAGGCCGAGAAAACCTGCTCACCCTGCAAACCGGGCAGGATGGTAGAAACAAAGTTGCGCGCCTGCGAGCCCGGGCCCCCCCCAGCCCGGCCGCCCGGCCGCGCTCACCCCCGCTCACCCTCCAGCAGCACCTCCTTGCCCGCGCGCTTCAGCGCCTGCACGGCCTGGTCGTGAGTGGCCTGGCGCAGGTCCGTGCCGTTCACCGACAGGATGGCGTCGCCCAGCCGCAGCGCCCGGCTCTGGTCCGCCGCCAGCCCCGGGAAGATCTTGGAGATGAGGATCGGCATCCGGTTCTCGCGGCCGCCCTTGATGCTGATGCCCAGGCCGCCCGCCTCCTGCTTCACCACCCGCACCCTGCGCACGGGCGGCGAAGCACCCGCCTCGCCCGCGGGACCCCGCGGCGGTGCGGGCGGACTCGGGGGCCCCAGGCCTCGGCTCGGGCTCCCGGGCAGCGAGTCGCCCGCGCCGCCGCCGTTCGGGAGGCCGTTGAAAGCCGCCGCCGGCCCCAGAGTCGGCTCCGGCTCGGCCGCCGCGGCGTCGCCTGTCAGACTTAGGCTCTCCCCGCTCAGCTCGGCCACCACTCGGACCCAGCGCTCCCGGAGGAGCAGCTCGACGAGCCCCGCTTTGGTAGCCCGCGTCCACACCGCCATGGCCGGCCCGGCTCCCGCAGACGCCGCCGCTACCCTCATTCCAGTCAGGCAGCCTCGGCGCTTCCCCCTTCCCGCCGGAGGGGGCGGGGCCGGCCCCTCCCCCGGCTCGTTAATTATTCATGAAGGACACGCCCAGCTCCCGACGGGGCGGGGGCGGGCCGGGCCGGCGAGGCCGCTTCCGGGAGGTGAAGCACTTAGGTCCCCTTTTAGCTTGGACGCGGCGCAGCGAGCTGCATTTCTTTGGTTTCCCCAGAGCCCCTCCAACTCCTGAACTTTACACTACGAGAGCTGCCCAGACGCGGAAAGCAAAATCAGTTTGGAGAAGCACTTTGCAAGCCTGCAGGACAGGGTGGCACACTCAACTCTTGCATTGATTGGTCCGTTCCTTGTGAACCGAGAGCTCAGCCCTGGGGTTAGGGCTTCCGCAGAGATTAGCTGAGAGATGTGGTCTAGTGGGAAAGGAAGACACAGAACCAATAATCTAGGTGTGATACTCTGTGGTAAGAGGCTGTAGCAAAGGCTCCCAAAACAGAATCAAAAGAATATTTGCTTAGACCTGGAGTCAGCTTCACAGAGATGAAAATGGAGGAAATCACAGAAGGCAAAGAAAGCATGAGCCAAAGATCCAGAGGCATGAATCCCAAGACTTTGTCACTCTGCTTTTTTTTTTTTTGGGGGGGGGGGGGTCCGGTCGTGAGGCCTGAACTCTGGGCCTGGGCGCTGTCCCTCAGCTCTTCAGCTCAAGGCTAGCACTCTACCACTTGAGCCACAGCACCACTTCCGGCTTTTTTCTTTTTGCTTATGTGGTGCTGAGGAATCGAACCCAGAGCCTTAGGCATGCAAGGCAAGCGCTCTACCACTGAGCCACCTTCCCAGCCCCTGTCAGTCTGCTTTGTAATCACCTGCATACTTACTTGTAATTAGAGGGGACCATGTCTTTCAGCCATAATAGGCAGGCCTCAAAGCTATTTGTAACATGAGACTTTTTAGCTTTCTCCAGAGAAACAGACCAATGTGATATCTAGACGTATAGATTATAAAGGATTGGTCACAAGATTATAAAGACTAAATCCCACAATAGGCCATCTGCAAGCTACATTTGATTAGTGTGCTCTGAATCCAACCAGAAGAGACCAATGATGGAAGTATAAACCTGAAGGCCTGAGAAGAGGAAGAGTGTCAACATTTGAGGACTGAAGAGAGAGAACGCAGTTCACAGTGAAGTCACCCTCTGCCTTCTTATTCTACTCCTGCCCCTCAACTGACTGGCTGATGCCTGTTGGTGAGGGCAACCTTGTTTTTACTAAGTCTATCAAAGCTACTGTCTTTACAGACACACACACATCCAGAAACACCGTTACCTAGTCATCCTTTAGCCCAGTCAACACACATTAGACAGCACAGATGGTTACTTAAGCTGCCAGAACTCCAAGGTGGACACAGCATGGAGTCAATGGGAATGACAGGATGTGAGAAGCTTCATATAATCAAATGGTGAAGTTTGTACTTGGTGGACCCCATTTGCTTACACTGGAGGTCATCACTCTTCACAGAGGTAGTATAGATTAGCATTCCCACAAATCATATACAAAATTTGGTATCTATGCTGGATTTTGGAATCCATGACTTCTCATCTAATTCTAGAGATATCCTATACCAAAGGCCAAAAACCACTTCTAGTTTAGAGGGCTAGAGGAGCTGAGGAAATTGAGAACCAAACTGCTGAAGACTTTGGTCCAACATCCACAGTAAGAATGAAGAGACAAATTTAACTTCCTTGTCTAGTGCTTTTGCTCAAGAAATAAGACCAGGGGCTGGGAAGGTGGCTCAGTGGTAGAATGCTTGCCTTGCATGCATGAGGCCCTGGGTTTGATTCCTCAGCACCACATAAGCAGAAAAAAGCCAGAAGTGGCGTGGTGGCTCAAGTGGTAGAGCGCTAGCCTTAAGCTGAAGAGCTGAGGAACAATGCCCACGCGCAGAGTTCAGGCCCTATGACCCACAAAAAAAAAAAAAGAATTAAGGCCAGAAGCCACACTACTAAGAAAAGTCTCAGCAAAATCATGAGGTCAGTCAAGGTGTCCTCTAAGAGAAAGGTGCCTTCAGCAGAAAAAGTGAAATCCTCATGCTTTCTTTGGGCAGGAAAGGGGGAAAGGGGGAGACAAGCAGAGGGAACATGCATCAGTTGCTAAAAGGAGCTTACTTGCTCACTCAGGGAGTACACATTTGAGGCTCAGAGGCTATAGCATGCACCATTCTTTGAAAGCACGTACATGTCCAGACGGAAACTTCCAAGAGTCAGGGGTTAAAATTGAGTCTGGGAAGGATCCAGAACCCATGTGAGGAAAGAATTCAAAATGAGAAATGTGTCTTATTAAAAAAAAAAGAAGAAAGGAAAAAAATCATTACAGCACAATCTTCTTTGCAATTAGTGGAGCAGGATTTTCCAAGCTGCAAATGTCAGCAAAAGCTCAACCCTCCAGCCCTTGTCCTAAATCAACAACGGTGAAGCCAGCTTACTGTTCTAGCAGGTCCCAATGTGCCTGAGTGCACCTGCAGTCACAGACATTTCTGGCTTGGCTCCAGCTGAAGCGTGAGCCCCCAGAGACCTGAGTTGTGTGAAATTTCTGCTTGTTAGAAAGCATTTGGCAGCTGGCTCCTTCGTGTATGAGCATTAGTTATGAGCACTTTTGCTTATGCCATCACCCAGAGGTGGGGCACTTGAGGACACCTTTATTAGCAAAAGGGAAGTTGTGGAAAGGCTTTCCAAGAGTCTCAAGGACTTTTTGTCAATAGAGTGGGAGGAAGTCACAGTTTAATAGTGAGGACACTTACATAAGATAAGTTATATAACAAAATATTTAACCTCGGGAGGAGGAAAGGTAATAAGAGATTGGTATCTGGATATTTTAGTAGTGTTTTCTTAGCATTTTACATTTCTTTGTGCTAGTTCTGGGGCTTGAACTCAGGACTTGGGTGCTGTGACTTAACTTTTCCATTCTAAGCTAGCTAGCGCTCTACCACTTGAGTCACCAGTTCCACTCTGGCGGTTTGCTGGCTTTTTTTGGGGGGGGGCAGGGGTCTTGGGGCTTGAACTCTGGGCCTGGGTGCTATCCCTCAGCACTTCAGCTCAAGGCAAGCATTCTACCACTTGAGCCATAGCCTCACTTCTGGTCTTCCAGTTTTCTGGTGGTTAACTGGAAATAAGAGTCTCATGGACTCTTTTCCCTAGGCTGGACTGGAACCACAATCTCAGCTTCCCAAGTAGTTAGGATTACAATTATGAGACACCAGTGAAAATTTATTTTTAATATAGCTGTAAAAATCTCCAAACTATCAAGCTGTATTTTTACCTAGGTCTTCCATCAGAAACTAAATGAACTCTCCAACATTCTCAGATTAACCAACCCACTATCTCCCAATGATGTTTCCCACATTCCCACCTGAGTCTTTGCAAATATTTCCTGTTCCCTTCACCCATTGCCCTTACCCCAGCAAAATCTCATCCCAGCTTTCCTTGACTTCGTTTCCCTGAACTCATGGGGATTTTTCCTTTCAACAATTTAATAATGTGTCTTGCTGATTTGCCCAAGTAAATTATAAACTACAGGAGAGCAGGGACCACCTATCAACTTAATTTTCTTCTCCTCTATTAGAAAAACAATGTCTTGCAGAGAAGGAACTCATTACACATGGAATTGATTGAAATACAGTGCTTTCTGCACTATATGCAGTCCTTCCCTAAGCTACTGGTTCCTTGCAGAGTGAAAATTACCATCTAGGAAATCTCAAATAGTGGGTATTTACTTACTATGGAGAATAAAATCTGAAAGAATACACATCTGTTTCTATGGTTTCCTAAAGACAGCAAGAAAAGATCAGCTCATTCTTTGAACAAACATTCCATCTAAAAAAGGAAATGGCTTTCATTCTTGTCACCTATGAATCTTTTTATTAGCAGATATTTATTGTGAAAAGGGGTTTCATTGTGTAGTTACAACATGTATGCAATGTAACATCAAATTCACCGTCTATATTACTCTTTAATCTTTTACTAGTTCTCAGAACAAGCAGAGATCATTGCTAGTTTTAAATAAGGGAACTGTCTTAGCTCTCAGGTTCTATGATTTCATCCTACAATCCTCTGACTCAGTCTCTTGATTCTATGCTGTCTTGAAACTCAATGGTCTATTTTTTTTTTTGGGGGGGGTGTTGGTTATGGGGCTCGAAACCAGGGCCTGGGCTCTATCTGTGCAATTTTGTTCAAGGCTAGCACTCAAACACTTCCAGCCATAGCACCACTTCCAGTTTTTTAGTGCTTAATTGGAGATAGAGTCTTATGGACTTTCTTGCCCTTTGAACTGCAAACCTCAGATCTCAGCCTCCTGAGTAGCTGGGATTACGGACATGCAACCAGCACCCAGCTAAATGGTTTTTTTTGTTCCCTTCCTCATAGGACAGCATAATGTACAGTTCAAATCCTAGTTTGGCCACCTGCTATTGTATAATATTCAAAAGGCTAAAGTTACGAGCCTGTTCTCCAGAAATATTCATGTATCATTTTCTCTGAAAGGAGATTGTGAGGTTCAGGATTGGGTGAGATGATATATACACAACACTGAGTTGCACAGGCATGAGGTCATATAAAAATTACCAGCTGTTATTACCTGCTGACCTTCAGAAGCAACATTAAAGCCTTTGGTAGAAACTCTCCAACTGAGATTCTCCACTTTATCTAGAAATGAGGCTGCCCTAATACCATTTGATTCTAGGCATAAAGGGTAAATGGCCATATTTTGGTGACAAAATAATTGCCAAGAGTCGGTCAACAAAAACCATCAGTGGATATGGGGCTGCTTCCAAGGTTTTGAGTGTTGTGTAATTTCACAAGGAAGGAGGGCCCCCAGGCCAAATTGCAGCTTTTAGTAAGCCCGAAGGTCACTGCCACAAAGGTGGCCTGATGCCAACATAACAAAAGCAAGAGCTGCTCAATTGTTACTAAAGAAGGAGCCAAAGGGAGAAATAGGCTTGTAAAAGAACCAGTCTAAACTCAACTTCAAAAAATAAT